ATCCAGTGTACTCATATAGTCATATGACACAGTCACACATTCAAAAGTAGTTGTCCATTGATAGCACAGAAATGCAAATAAATCACCAGTAGTTCTCTCCACCTCTTCCTGATGTCAATACAGTACACAGTGGCCATCTTACTGTTTTTGCGCACATGGATTTATGACAAGGTTTGATGGTCACGGCATACATACCCTACTCCTGCACTTGATAATCGTATAGATATATGTCCTGCACTTGATAATCGTATAGATATGTCTCGCACTTGATAATCGTATAGATATATGTAGCTGAAGACAGACATTGACATGAGCAGCAAGGTTTGTTGTTTAACTTTGAGGCTAACTGCTGCCTGTCTGAAAAAGACAATATTGCTAACTAAGAAGTGTTTATTTATATAGTTCAAAATTATTGCATGTAGGGTGTCTCAAAAGAAAGAAAAAACGACATAAGTATCCTGCAGAAAGCTAACACAGTACTACAATAGAATACATCAAAGCAGATACTTTTCAGAAAAAAAATGTAGGATCTTCCATGTAAAAAATCAGCCAATAATGTCCTAGCAGCAAACAAAGTATTTTGCAAGACAATCTTAAAAACCAGCAGATTTTACGTCTACTTGGTCTTGTAGTAATGCTTTCTGTTAGATACTTGGCGGAATAACCTTTTAATGTTTTATATATATCCATCTGCTGAAAAATATTTACTGAGGCTCTTGCTCCCATTTGCAGGATTGCGGCATCCATGTGAACTTTGCTTTATGAGAGGAGCTGATTAGACAATGCAACCAGGATAATTGCAGTTTTTTTAGTCCAAGCTGTAAGAAGTTTCATGTCCAGTTTCTGTATGCCCTCTTTCACTTCTTTTTTGGTTCTGCGCAATGCACAACTTTTCAGACCTCCTGGTATATAGCACATATTGCAAGCTGCTTTCTTTCATAAACCGAGTTCCCCTGTTAGAATGGGTGAGAATGTGAGATCAAGTTATTAGTTGTTTTTTTGTTCTTCTGAATGTATTCTTTTGGTGGAATATCATTGCAATATGCATTTATACCCTGAAACCATTCTTATATGCACTTATGCCTTTTTATTTTTTCAGATATCCCTGCAGATGAAGTTCTACATCAGGCAGTACCTGCCTGGTGATGTGGCTACTGTTTTAGTTAAGGTTGTACTGTATCGTATTCGTATTGTTATATGAATAGTTACATTTTTAATACAATATATAGGAATTGATGTGTTAAAGTTTCCATTATTATTAGTCATCCATACACTGAATGCCCATGAAGTCAGGTTGATACTCAAGTGTTTTGATAATGATAGATAGGTTTTCTACCTCGCTATTTCCTAATTGTATCTTCTGAAACCCTGTGAAGTGTAAACAATAATGGACCTGATTTTTGCAGGTGTGTCCCTCGACAGTCCACTTTGCTCACTTGGTCATGCTCTATCATCAATATATTGTTTGGTATTTGCTTGTGGTCTTTTGTAGACATCACAGAGAATCATTGCTCATTCTGGGCGTAAACTGCTTATGTTTTCGACACAGCACTAAACTGACTTGGTATATGCTTGTGATAGTGTGTTGATGTATCACAGAGAATAAATCACTGCTAATTCAGGGATAAATATGTGCATATACTATTTGATAATAATTGAAAAAAAATGTCAAGGTGTTGGTCGACTATAGGCACTGCTCCCAAGAGTTCCACTTATAATTGAGGTGCCATTTCTACTTGGAATAATATGTGATTCTAAATGTCTAATAATGCTGCAGATATGATAGATGTCCGAATGACTAAGCGGTGTCGTGTGCCTGAATGGCTAAGCGGTGAGTGCTTGAGTGACCAAGTGACTGAATGGTTGAGTTATTGAGCGTCCGAGTTGTCTAAGTGATATTCTAAGAAAACAATTGTGATGTCTCATTAATGAGATAATTCAGAAATCATATCTTACTAGAATAAGTCTTCAAATATTATAACTATATAAACAGTTATATAAACATATGCGTGCCTTGCACGTGCATAGCTACTAGTAAAGTGAAACATCTCTTCAAATGGGGGGCTGTTTTCAATATTGGTGATGGGAAAACTTGTGAATTTTGGGAGGACTGTTGGCTACATGAAGTACCTCTAAAGATTTTATATGAAGATCTCTACAAGATGGTTAGAAACATCCTAACTGTTCTGTTAATTAGTGATTGTTGGTCGACTGAGGGTTGGGAAGTTGATTTTAGGAGACCTTTGACACCCCAGGAATGGCAGAATTGGCTGGGCTTAGTCAATGAGCTCCAGACAGTAACTCTAGTGAATAGCCCTGATTCTGTGTCTTGGTTACTTGATAAAAGTAAACAACATACTACTGAATCCTTATATAGGTTCCTCACTGATAGGGGTGTATCCAGCAGGGTATCTGGGATCTTGTGGAAGTGCAAAGTTTCTTTGAAAATTAAATTCTTTCTTTGGCAAGTGTTCAATAACAAACTCCAAGTGGCTCAATGCCTAGTGAAGACGGGCTAGAAGGGGAAATGGGAAATGCTGCTTATGTGGGAAATTGGAAACAATTGATCACATTTTCTTCCATTGTCATTTAGCTAAATTGTCCTGGGGAATTTTGAGAGAGGTGTTCAAATGGGAACACACTCCTTCTGTGTTGGATTTCACTGGAAGTTGGCTGCAGGGCAAGGGGCCTCTGCCTAGCAGACTCTTAATGTTGTTTTTTGCAGGTATTGTGTGGGCTATTTGGACCACAAGGAACAAGATGGCCATAGAGAAAGTTTCCCCATGCTCCAACTGATGTACGTTATATACATTGAGCTATCAATGTTGCCAAAGTGGAGTATTCTACGTGGACAGGGAGCGCGTTGATTCCACAAGCTGGTGTATCTGATACCTGATACCTTGCTTTCTTAAAAGCAGAGGTTCTTCCTCTTTAAAAAAAAAAAGATTCCACAAGCTGGTTGGTGTCAACATGCCACGACACTGCGTGATGCCTGAAGTATGTTATGCTGGAGGTTGTTGCCATGTTGGTGTCAGGATTGGACAACCTGGCAACTGAGTTCCTGGTTGGTGTTCCATGAAATATGTTAGTGCGATGCAAGAAGCCGGGTAGATTGTTATTTTAGATCACACATGTTTGTGTGGAGGAGTGACTTGGCATGAAATTCTCAGGGTGGATTGCAGTAGATGCGGTAAGCTTGTTTCATTCTAGTATTTGGTGTTTGTGCAAGGTATCCTTGAAAAACTAGACCTGCTGTATTGTTGATATCTCTGGCTCATCAAATACAATATACATACATATAATTGAAGAACTAAGAGGGACATACAAACACTAGACTGGAGGATCAGGAGCAGTTTCTTCGGGTTTCGCTGGCGGTGGTGACTCGGCAGGCAACGGTTGGGCGCTCTGGCTCCTCTTTCCGATGATGCAGGATAGAACGAGATGGAATGCCATGTAGACCAGCACGCCTATGACCAGCAGCAACACATACACAGATGTCTTCCACCCCCTGCTCGAGCCGGCTGCGTATGCACCCAGGAGGCCAAGCAAGTCCAGCACAATTGTTGTATTCATCACCACAAGCCACCTCTTGAGCCGGCGGTCCTTGCGAAGTAGCTGCTTCGGTGGTACCAGGAGCAGCAGGATGACCATGACGGACGCCATGAACGAGGTGGAGTTGGTATAGAAGAAAGCCAGGTACCGGGGCCTCCTGTTGTCATGCATCACCGGGTCGCCGGCCTCGTGCCCTCCACTGCTGTTCTGCCAAGCTCCGCCCGGCTGCTCTAGGCCGGCCTGGTAGGTGACACTTCCCACAAGGATCCCTAGCAGCATGAGGTACTTGCGCTTGGCATTAAAGATGAAAACGGAACGGAAATATCCCGAACCGAACCGCATCGTTTTCTATATTTAATCCGATCGAATCCGTATTTTTCAAAGTTTTAAATCTCCGGCTAAAGGGTTTAGCTGCACCGTTGCTGAACCGCTATAGCCGCTAATAGCCCGCTACAATAGCCGCTAAGACACTTTCCCTGTTTTACCTTTTTTGCCATTTTCGTTGTTATTTGCATATATAAACAATGCCTTATTCCCTCCAGTTAAACTCGATCTTATCCATTCGGCCACCAGCACCCAGAAGTCTCTGCTGCCGCGTCGGTCTGTTCTGTGTGGGAAGAGAGACTCGAAGTGGAGGCACGTTGGGCCTGCTGTCTTTTTGGGCCATCATTGTTTTAGCCGCTGCTGCCGCTAAAGGAAGTTGTATTTAGCGGATATCTCTGGATAAACACAGCTATTAGCGTCTAGGATTGCTTAGCGCTAAAATTTGGTTCTCCTAGCCTTTTCCTTCCGTAGCAGCTATCTCCGGCTATAGCGGTAGCTATAGCCGGAGATTTAAAACTTTGGTATTTTCTTGTCCGACTTTACCGTTTTCGCTTTCGCATTTGAGATGTTTCGTATTTCAAATGTAAAAGTAGAAAATGGTTTACATATTTTTCGACCGTTTTCTACTTTTCTACTTTTAATTTGAAATATTCCGAATTCAAAATTTGGTTTAAACCGAATTTGGCCAACTGCACAGGTCATACAGCCCAATTACAGGCTGCTCACCATGCAGCTGCGTTCTTTCTACTGGTGGCTAGCTGCCCTCTCTTATAGACGGCGCCCAGCCTCATCTCTCTTATTATATATTTGGTCATGCACTTGTTTAATGCTATGCACTTGAACTAGATCATGCACTTGTTAGTTGTGAACTTGTTATGTATTTGGTCGTGCACTTGTTTAATGCTATGCACTGTGGGTCGGTATTTCGTATTGAATTTTCGCATACCGACCGTGTTCGACATAATTCCGCTCGAATTGGTTCGTTTCCGAAATTCTAGATATTCCGTAAGTTCGTGTTCGTTTTCGTGTCCGGCTTGTCCGCTTTCGCTTTCACTTTCGTATTTCAAATGTAAAAGTAGAAAACGGTTGAGGAGTTTTTCGACCGAGTTGGACCGTTTTCATCCTTACTTGGCATGCACTCTCCTCTTCTTTCTCTTGGTGTTCTCCTCCTTATTGTCTTGTGTATCGTCGGTCTCTTCCGTTGTTCCTGCTCCTGCTAGTAATGGTGTAGTATCTTTGCTGCTGCTGGTGAACCAAAACACCAGGAACAGGAGAACTATGAAGAAAACGACAACGACCACCGCTACCAACACGAATATGTAGATGGATGTCTTCAAATGCTGCGTGCTTCCGGCGGCGTAGGCTCCCAACAGGCCAAACAAGCCTACGGCCGTGCACACGGACAGCGCATGGGTCCGTATGGCTGGCCTGTACAGGTTGGGGTTAACGAGGAGGATGATGAGGGCGATGGACAGCATGAAGCTCACCGAGTTGCAGTAGAAGAAGGCCTTGTAGCGGCGCGGGAAGTTGTACAAGAGGACCGGGTCACCGGCGTGGTGCCCGGACTGGTCGTCCTGGAGCAGGAACCCCCCTGGCGGAGTGAGGCCGGCTTGGTAGGTGATGGTCGCCGCCAAGATGGCGAAGAGGAGCAGCCGCTTGCGTGTCTTCTCCACCAACTCCTTGTCCTTTTTCTTGTCACTCTCGCTCCTTGTGCGCGTGTCGTCATCCAGCGTGATGAAGATGACGTGGATGACCACGTAGACAAGGACGGCGCCAGCCAATGCCATGGCGTGGATGGAGGTGATCACATCGCGGCAGCTCCCGGCCGCGTACGCACCAATAAGGCCGAATAGGTCCAGTATCATGACCGCCTCCAGCACATGGTGCTTGAGCAGATGCTTCCTCTGGACCAGCATGATGGCGACCAGGGACGCCACCAGCGACACCGAGTTGCAGTAGAAGAAAGCCTTATACCGCCGGGGATTCGTCGTCAGAAGGATCGGGTCGCCGGCTGTGTGGTCGCCGCTGTTGTCCTGCCAGACGCCGCCCGGCGGTTCCAGCCCCGCTTGGTAGGTGATCGTCGCCGCCAGAGTGGCGAGCAGCAGGACGAGAGAGCGAGCCTTGTCTGCTGCTTTCTCCTTCTCTGTTTTACCCTCCCTGACCCTGCTTCGGAATGTTGTGAATGCCAATGATTTGCAAAGGAAGAGCGAGCGGTACCAAATCGAGACAAACTCTGAATACTACCTGCCATTGGTGTTGTCGCGACCATGTGGTGTTGATGGCTCTCGCAACAATTTGGTCCTGTTGATGGCCGTTGCAACCATTAGGGGCAAGAGGAATAAAAATATTTATTTCAATTTGAACTGCAATTTTGAACATTATTAGTTACCTGAAAAGTTTTTTTATTGCTTCCCATGTGGCGTGGATGTGATCTGCGACAAAGTAGAGGAACAAAATGTACACCAGAACGGCAGGGATGAGGCTGAACACGTAGACGGTGGTGTCGGTCTGCCTGCAGCTGCCGGCGTTGTACGCGACGACGAGGCTGAACAGCGCGACGACGATGAACCCGTAGGCATTGATCTTGCGGAGCTTCGTGTCCAGAAGCACCACGATGATGAGCAGTGACGCGACAAAGGCGAGGGTGTTGAAACCGAAGAACACTGCCAGGCGCGTGTTGTGACGGTCCTTGAGGATGGCGTCGCCGGGGCCGTGTCCGGCGCCGGCGACGTCCCAGAAGCCTCCCGGCGTGCTCAGCCCGGCCAAGTACGTGATGCTCACGGCGAACGTCGCGAGAAGCATCAGGACCTTGCGGAACCGTTCTTTCGCCTTGTCTTGTTCGACCTTGTTGGGCACGCTGCCGGAGCTGGATTGGGGGTTGTTGCCGGGCACTGAAGGAAGCGCCGCCATCACCATGAGGACCTTGTTGCGGAACCTTTCTTTCGGCTTCTGCCGTTCTTCTTCTTTTTCGACGGCTTCGGGTTCGGCCACGCCGCCGCCGGAACCGGAGTTGGGGTTTCCGCTAGCCAGGGAAGCAGGCGCGTCGTCCGGGACCGGGTGCCTTTCTTCGACTTGGCCTTCGGGCACGCCGCCGGAGCCGGTGTCGGTGAAGTACGAGGCCACCGCCACCTGAACAACGAGGTAGAAGAAGACGAAGCCCACAAGCACCGAGGAGTAAACGGTGGTAAACGTGTCCCGGCAGGTGCCGGCAGCGTAGGAAGCTCCCATGAGGCTGAGCAGGTCCACCACCATGACCAGCTGCAGCGGCCGAACGGCGAGCCTGGGGTGGTTCCTGTACTGGCTGACGATCCAGGAGTTGGAGGAGCTCTCCTTGTCGTCGAGGGAGGCGAGGATGAGGACGAGGACGAGGGACCACGAGCGACGCGGCGAACGCGGTGGCGTTGCAGTAGAAGAAGGCCACGTACTGCTTGTAGTGGGTATCCCGGATGATGGGGTCGCCGGCGATGTGGTCGCCGGCCGTGTCCTGCCAGACGTCACCCGGTGGGCTGAACCCGGCGGCGTAAGTCACCGTGGCCACCAGCGACGCCAGCAGCAGGATGTACTTGCGGAGCTCCAACATGATCTCTTGCTTTTGCTGCGGGCTGGTAGGAGTGCCATTGCTGCTGTGCCTCTGCTGATGGGTGCTCTCGTCTTGTGTTCGCGGCATGGCGGACTGGCTGCAGGAAGCAGAATCAGCACCTCAACCCCTCGACTAGGACTTGATGATGAGCTCTCTCGATCTCCCCCCCCCCCCCCTCTCTGGTGAGATGTATATTGGGGAGGGAACATGGTGCTATTCATCAGCATGGCAACGTGATTATGTACAAGCAGAGGAATCAAATGTAAAATATAAGTGGAATCTAATATTCATTTAACTATTGCCCGTCTTGTCACGCAGAGGAGTCCCCTCTTCGTTCATTCCTAGGGCAAAATGGTCATTGACCATGTCCTGGTCTACCTGCAGAACCATTGGTAGTAAGCTGGCTGAAGCTGTTTTATTAATCAGTTTAAACTGAGACAGCTATTGTGACTCCTTGCGTTGCAAAAGCGCCTCGTGTCGTCTCCCGTGAGGCGGCTCGGGGCAACGCGCCTCCGTCATCGAGGCCCCCCTCCTCTGGCTGCTCCTTGGCCGCCGCTGCTGCTCTCCGGTGAGCGGTGGCGGCGGACGTGGTGGCGCTCAAAAAAGCAGCCATTTGAATCCTTCCTTCTCCCCTCGCCTCTGCTCTCTCGCCCTCCCCAAGCTCCTCCTGCAGTTGTTGGCCAACGGTGGATCCGGCGTCCCTAGCTCGGGTTACGGTACCTCCGGCCAGATCTGGCCATCCGGTGCTAGAACTTGCGGTGGTGCCAGGGTCTTCGCGGTGGTCCGGCTCCTAGAGCAGGCTATGGTCCGGGTGAATGCCATCGACTCCCTCGGCCTACAGCTCTTAGCGTTAGGCGTTCTTGAGCTGCTTTCGTGTACTGCGTCGCGTGCGGTTTTCGCCATGGCGCGCCGCCAAAGATGCTCGACGAGATCTACCTGGTTGGGGCGTGACCGCGCCGCACGCCCTCCACGCGATAGGCTCACGCGACCTCCAGCGCGACACGTAGGGAAGTGCGAGGTCAGCCCTACACAACTCCCTTGCGCCATGGCACCCTCCAACGCCAAGGCCCGCGTGCCCACACACGATCGAGAAGTGGCGCCCGTAGGCCCCCCACGGCCCGGCAAATGGCCCAGTGCCCCATCGACCGAGCCCGAAGAGTCCCATGTATCCCTGCGTGGCCTCCAGCGGCGTTGCGCTGGTGCAAAAGCGGCCCCACGTGGCTCCCATGTGCTGCGGCGACCTCCTATGCGAAGCTGCATGGCCAACTTCGTGCTGAAGCTCCCCGACACCCGGCGCCTTGAGCAGATTGTAGCCGTGGAGGCGATGCCCACCTACGCTGGCTACAACCGGCGAGATCTAGCTATAGGTTGGCCTACTACCTGCTGGACGTGGCTGGAGAGCATTGTGGTGGTGGGGGTGCTTTGTGTTCACGGGTCTCACGGTGAAGGAGCGAGTGTTTGCACGGTTATGAGAAAAACTCAGCCCGGTTTTGGCTGGCGGAGACAACGGTGGCGCCACAGGCGCCACATTGCCTCCTTGAGGCGTCGTTGTTGAACCCCATGCTTTTGCGCTAGCATCATTTGGATTCTAGAAGTAGGCCCCGCCTTAGAAGCCTCTAAGGCCAGTGACAATGGCGTCTAGGGTGGTACCCTTAGGCGTCACCCCTTCCTGAAGGCGTCGCTGAAGAATCTCCTCGGCTCGTCACTTGTCCTCCATGTGGTCGCCGTCTTCCATGGTTCTGCCGTCTTTGTCGGCTCTGGTGGAGTTCTAGCTGTGCCTCTATGTGCCTTGATTCTACTCACTTTGGTCTGTCCTGTAGCTCTTGACCTTTCTGTCAGCGTCTGGCTTTCATTGCGGATGTTCTGTCGCTATCGTTCTTTTGGCAGATACTTTGCCACCATTGTCGTTGGTCCCCTATCTAGCAGATGCTTTGGTGCGCGCCAAGAGTGTGATGGCCACTCCCCTCTATGGATACTTTGCCTAGGGGGCGTCTTTGCCTCTTCCCTAGCATATACTTGGCGATCGGCAGAATCCTTCGCGGATACTTTACCACCGTTGGTCTTTGGTCCCCTCTCTGGTAGATGCTCTTTGGTAGATTCTCTCTTTTTGGTGCATGAAAATGGGTGCAATATATATGATAAAACTCCCTAATGCATCTAGCTTATTTATAAATTTTCTGGGAATTTTTCTAAGCTAGGAAAGTGGATTTTTATAGCCTTCTGTGTACACTAACCGGATGTACCTAGCGCTTTCTTAACTGTACCCAGTGCTGTGTATGTGGCGTGTGTGTGTGTGCGTATGACAGGTGGGCTAGTCCGCCACATCAGCAGTGACGGCTCTAGCGGCGTGACGGCCGCGGGCCCACACGATAGAGAGAGAAAGGGAAGGGGGAGAGGACGGATGGGACGGTAACGGCAACGCCGTTGCCGTCTGGCCCCATAAGACAGAGAGAGGAGGAAGGGGAGAGGGGAGACGACGATAGCTAGGACGGCCATGTTGGCGACGGAACAGGGGAGGGACGCCTTGAGCTCGTCGGAGCAGGTCACGCTGGCGACGTCGAGCCTCAGTGGTTACGGTTGAAGGGTGGACGAGGCTCGGGAGACCACGCCACAACCAGTGGTGGCCTTGCCGGCGTCAGCGGGTGCCCGAGGTGACGATGGCGGCTCGCCGGAGTTTCCGCGGCGGCGCCGTGCAGCGGATACAGCCCTAGTGGCCTTATCTAGCCTAACTAACTACGTGTGCGCGTTCGTGGGTGAGTGGTGAGTGCAACGGGGTACTCTAGTGCTCGACTGAGCCTTGCCGTTGGCTAGCCGGCGGGCATGGTGGCTCGGTGGGGCACGGTGCATGGTGGCAGCGCGACATAGGGGCTCAAACAACTAACCAGCTAAAGCAAAAGGATGAGGAAGAGCTCAGGGACTCACCTGCTAACCCAATCGGCCAATGGCGCAGCAGAGGAGGAAGGAGAGGAAGGCGGCTTCAATGGCGCCGGCGGCTCCTGATTTGGGGAAAACTGAAGTAGAGCAAGGAGGAGAGGAGGAAAGGGAAAAAGGAGGGAGCGATTGAGTGTTCCAGCTCGAGGCGAAGCTAGCGGTGGAGAGCGCGAGGTCGGAGTGGCAAGGGCCAGGCCTATTTATAGGCCGGCCATGTCGGTTCCGGCGGTGAGATATTTTCTCACCCACCGAGCTCGCCCGGTGGAAAGCACACGTGCCTGATGCCTTAGGTCGGTTCGCCATAGTGCGGGTTTGCCCACACGTGCGGTCGGGAAAAGCTTGGGCTCATCCATGGTGGTATGCGGCGAGGTGGGCTTGTCGCGTGTGTGTCGAGGGGAGGAGCAGGAGGAGGAGGAGGAGGAGGAGAGGTGGTGTGGGGTCGCGAAAAGATCTCGCGAGGGCGTCCCGGTGTCCATAACTTCACCGAGGCGAGGCGGTGGCGGCGGGGCCAGGCCGCTCGGGCGGCGACGCGGTATTCGCGTCGCTGGCTTGACGCGGTGTTTCACATGTTGCAATGGTGCTGTAGCTGTCTACCACCTTCCCGTTGTCCGCGAACTCCTTGACCAGTGCCACGGCCCTGTCCTCGGTCACCATCAGCTCCAGTGCTCGGCCTCCTAGGGCGCGACGCAATAAGGGGAAGGCGGCGTGGCCTCCCGAGATACAAGCGCAATCGAGGGGATGGCGGCGTGTCCTCCTGAGACGCACGAGTCGAGCGGGATGGCGCGCTGGTGCGGGAAGCGGAGGGAGCGCGGGTTCGCGTGAAATGGATCAGCAGGCGCCGGCGTCCGGATGCGGGCGTCCGTCCGGACGTCCGGGCGCTAGCCACACTGAATCTATAGCACACGCTGCCTTTGGTCGGAGAAGCAATGGATTTAGTTAATTTTTTGAGAAAAATGAATTTAGTTAGCCTTTTTTTTTGAGAAACATGAATTTAGTTAACTAGTGATGTCCCTTCGGTCAGGGATCACATCCTGACCGGGCCTATAAGCCCACGCGCACAAACCCTGCCATCGCCGCATGGGCCAGCTATTTAATTACAAGGCCTTTGTTTGGCCCAAGAACATTTATTTTCACCAGCGAATTCTCCCTCCTTTACTCCTTTGCAATGCGACGCTTCGTCAAGGGTGACTCCCGTTTGGATGCATGGGCAATGGATACGCCTGTATTTGTTGGGAGCTCTTAGCTAGCTACTAGCTGTGAATTGACACTGTGATTTGTGAATCTGTTTGATGGGATCCGCAATGAATTGAATCTGAACTAGGAGAAGTTCCTATTTGAGGTTTTGGAAATTTGTGAAAACGAGCTTTACCTGGAACAGATTCGATCACAATTATTATATTCTGATCTGTAGCACTATACGTAAGTCGTGTTGCAGAAAAGGAAATCTGGAATCAACATGTTAGCAGTAACGTGGGGAGGAAGAAGAGACCGGATTAAAACAAGTACGTACTCCGTAAGAATTGGCAAGGGCAGGATTTAGGATTTCGGAATTTCGTTTACAGAGTTCATGACATCTCCCCTCTCCTCATCACTTGACTTGAGTACTATCCTATTACAACCATTCTGGGCCAGAGACTAGTGTGGTACTGGGCCTGCGCCTACGGATGGGCCTGGGCCTGGACGCACTTCCTTGGACATGATCCGCACTCGCCTCCCCTGCTTCTTCCTCTGCTCTGGTTGGTGAATGACCAAGAACAGTCAGTGTTGGCACAACAGGTGCCTCAAGCCCTCAACAATCAACATTATTATACTTAAATGATGAGTGATTGTACGATGGACACAACAGCCACATTGCAGGAACAACGGTCTGGCCTGGAAACATATATAGCCCTTGTTTTGGGTGAATTTGAATTTGGGGCTACTGTAGCACGTTCGTTTTTATTTGGCAAATAGTGTTTAAACATGGACTAATTAGGCTCAAAACGCTCGTCTTGCAATTTCCCGCCAAACTGTGCAATTGGTTTTTATTTTCGTCTACATTTAATACTCCATGCACGAGCCGCAAACATTCGATGTGACAAGTACTGTAGCAACTTTTTGGACTTTGGGTCAACTAAACACGGCGATAGGATGGATGTCGCTGTCCCACACGGCAA